TGCCATCTCTTTCCGAGGTGCCCCATGCCAGGCGTCCCTGGGGTGGTGGGAGCGTCCCGGAGGGAGACTGCCCTCCCAGATGGGACCGAGGATGAGCCAGGTACCTGGGATACCCTGGGTCTCCGGGGATTCCCAGGCAGGTTCTCTTGGCCTCCTGTCCTCGCTCAGGTCATCTCAAATAAGGGTACAGAATTCAGTGGAGCACAGTCAGGAAACCGGCTACAGTCACTCAGAAGAGTCAGGCCAATCGTTACAAAGAGGAGATAGAAGACAAACTCATATGCTCCTTCCCCAGCCACCCTAGTTAATTATAAATTAACGAAACCTATCTAACCAGGCGGGAGCTCAGGGCCAGCAGGCAATGGGGGACACGGTGTCCAGGCCTGCCTTGGCGCCCATTCTCCCTACAGATGATGCACGCAAGTGGCGAAGACTTGAATTTGGTGCCTAGACGACCCGGGACGGCACTGTCCCAGCTTCCAACGGCTTTATCCTCTGAGCCCTGCAGTCAGCAGGCGCGTTCATCCCTGAGGACGATGTGCATGGAGGGATGCGCTGCGGGGATGCGGACTGCGGGCGGACGTCCAACCCAGGACCCTCTACTGGGTCCAGCGCGCCAGGGAGGCATCATCCCCCCTCCCCCCGCGGCTCCTCTGCTGGTTGACCGACACTGAGCGACTGTGGCTGCGAGTCTGCTGGTGTATGCGCGCGAGGGTGGGGTTGGTGGGCATTTCAAGGGGGAAAATAACGACCCAAACGCCAGGGACCGGTTCTGATTGCGATGAGAATGTGGGTTTCCTGCCAAAAACAACGAAATAAAAAGGAAAAATATAAAATTAAACAAAGCAACCCCAGGAGAATAAAAAAATAAACCGAATATTCTCCACAAACACGACAACTAAAAATAAAAACAAATATAGAAATCTCTAAATACAATCTTCTACATACGCCCTATAAACATTTCAACCCGCCCGGGGCCCTGGGCCTGGGTTACCTGATTTATGAACAGATTCAGTTGCTAAAAGACTAAGGTCCTGTGGGCCGCGGAGGGGCCAGAATCAGGACTCTCAGGCTAGTGCTCCTTGCGGCACAGCACAGGCCTTCGTCTTCGTTGCCAAAACACCGGCTCCACAGCGCTAGGCCTGTGGCGGCGCCGAGTCTGCCTGGGCCCGGCGGCCGCCTGGAAATCGAGTGGACCCCGGGCGGCGCTGAGCCCAGACCCGGCTGCCGAAGTAGGCATCGGCCCCGCGGTCAAGCCCCTGACGCTTCCGTGGGAGAAAGGCCCGGCCCGGCCCGGTGCACGCCGTCGTGCTGTAAGTGTTCTAGAACGCAGGTTCCGGCTTCCTGCGGATTTGCCGAGGTGTGGACCCTGCCTGGGTCCATTCCCCTTCCTTCACACGGTGAGATTTACCCAGCCCAGGCCAGAGACCCAGCCTTGGCGTACACTCATCTTCTTTTTAGCCCCAGCCACCTGATGAAAGCGTTTCTATTGCTGAGATTCCCAGGGTGAGTCACTCCTCCAGGGATCCTGCCAGAATCTCGCCCTCCCGCCCTCCCGCTTTCAGAAGGAGAGTGCTGCGAAAGGTGCGTCTTGAATGGGGTTTCATCTGCAGAGGCGGCAGCGTCTAGCCCAGAGGGGTAGCTTTAGGGGAGCAGAGGCCAGCGCCATACATTGTTTAAAAAAGTACTGAGGAGCATTCCCGATCTGTGAAGATCGGCTGTTGAATTCCGGTCCGGATTACTTTGGGAAGCACCTCGACACGCCTGAAGGAGCATATGCGAGTGTGGATTATGAGCTTGCGGGGAATTTGGGTCAAAGCGGTCCATGTTGGGCCTGCCAGTAACCCGGCTCCACCGAAAAGGCCACTGCACGGCAAAGTTAAAGCCACGGCTTGGAGGGCCGGTTCTCTCTGGTAGCCTCCTACCGGAGGTTGTCGAGTCCTTTCCAAACATAGAACAAAAGGATCCTCGCATCCCCCATCAGCTCGGGGGCAGAGCACAGGGAATGTGTGTCGGCCTAGGAGGCTGTGCAGCCTGGGGTGGAAGCCTCACTGTGTGGGAGGTGGAGTGTGAGGGATGCTTGTTGTGCACCCATGCCTGTTATCTCGGAGGCCCAGCCTGTGCTGGTGTGTAAGAAGCGGCCTCCATTTTGAGGCAGGGTGTGTAGCACAGTGGCCAAGCATCCCCTAAAAGGACTGGGGAGGACCTCACTGTGTGATCTGCAAAGTGGAGCCCACCACTCTCCATCACTCAGCTCTTGAGCCTTAGGCTACTTACTTTCCAAGGTATTCCCTGGTCCTAGGGCCAGGAGGCCTGGGCAGAGGGTGGGGTGGGGTTGGGCAGTGAGTTGGGACAGGTCTCTGACAACTGAGGCCCACTGCCTCACCCATTAGAAGTGATTTGTGGGTCAACTCAGAGCCATCACCCCCCTTTCTTCAACAAGTATGTATGGAGATCTGTGTTGGCAGTTTTGCAGGATATTTGGATTCTTAGTGCACTCTTCAAGGTGAGGGCTATGGGTCCCTTTGTACAGATGAGGAGAGAGGGACAAAGACAAAGGAACTGGTTCAGGCTCAAAGGGCTATAGTCCTGGTATTCTAAACCAATTTTGCTTAGTTCTGCTGCATAAGCTGTTCTACTTCCCAGTGCCATAGGACTCCCTCCGTGGACCTGCTGCCTGGGGTGGGTCTTCCAGCAGGTGAGTGCAGAACCAAAAGGAGGCTGAAAAGACCCTGAAGGAATGGGGCTGTTGATTAGGAGAGCTTTATCCTAATAGCAACCAGGGCCAGAGTTGAAATATCTTCCTTCTCCCTTTTAATGTCTTCCTCCAAAAAGGAGGATTTAGGAGACGACCTCTTCAGAAGTCAAGGGCAAAATGTACTTAGGGTCTACGGGAGGGATATTCATTCTGGGACCAAAACACTTTGGATTCCCCTTTGCCAATGTCAGGCCTGTTCCATTTATCAAAGCCTGAGCCATGGTGGGGCTGCTTGTGACAGACACAGGTGACCCTGACTAGGAGGAATTAGTGGTAAATGATGTCATGGGCATTTCAGCCCTGTAATAACCTCCTTGTCTTTAAATGGAGCTGGGCAGGGGGATTTAAGGGCTCCATTTGCCTTCCCTTTCTAATAGATGTGTAAATAGGTCCTCTGTGCTTTGTATTTAATATTTCCATTATATTTTACAAATGGAACAACATTGCCATGTGTGTATATAAATTTCTAAAAATACACCCCCTGAAGATGTACACAGCCACCTTGTGTAATGGACTCCATCTCAGCCTGGGTTGGGAGGTTCCACCTTACAGGGTGGAGGCTAACTTTTCACTCTCACCTTCTGAGAGTCTTCACCTGGAGGCTATCTCATTGACATCTGTACAGAAAATTATTTGTTCTGTATACAAGGTTAATAGAGTGGAGAACGTGGTAGGTGGGCTCAGAATTTACAATTGCCTTGGCAGAAGCATGATGTGATGAGTATCACAGGTAGGGGGCTTGAGGTCTTGGAGTGTGTGGGCTTGGGGGACTCATTTCTCCAACTCTAGAAGCCCTACAGATTTTCTTAATGAAAGGAAACCAGCTGTTCACACCTTGCATTCTGGATATCCACCACTCTATAGAATTGAATGTAATTTAATCCCAGGAGCTCAACAGGCCCACACACCTGCTGGAATTCTAGTGGTCTAAGTGCCTTGACCCATGCCTGTACCCTGACTGGACAGTGGGCCCCCAATCGAATACTGGCCACACAATGGTGCCAGGAGTCTTTCCTGAAGCCAAAGACCCTGAGGGTGTGTGTAAGGCAGTTATTTCTTGCCTTCCTATTGGGCTACCTCCCTGCTCAACCCCAGCCCTGCAGAGCCACTCACACTCTGCAGCTGCAGGGAGATTGTTACCTGCCAAGGTATTCCAGAGCTCAGTTTAAATAAACTCGGGGTCCCCCAAGCAGAGGAGGAGAAAATCAGCCCTGGCAGGTCTCACCCTGCAACAAGTGCTCCAGAAGAGGCTGGAAAGGCACAGGGAAGGGAAGCTGAGAGAGCAGCAGAGGAAGGAGTCTAGACTAGAAGAGATGTTACCCGCGAATGCGGGATGGCTGGGGGCAACAGACTTCAGGCTCTGGTCGAGGCCTGGCCTCGGGCTGGGGGCAAGACCCAGGAGACTCTCCTCTCTTCCCATCTTATTTGGTGAGGTCCAATTTGAGAGAAAGAGGAGTACACAGCTTCGCAAGAGACTGGTGGTGGGGGCCTGGGAGCCTCTGCCACGTCGGGCGCTAGAGTTCTGGGAAGGAGAGTTCGGCACAGAGAAAAGACCAGGAAAGGAGCGAGGCGGCCCAGGCAAGGGCAAGGGAGAAAGAAAGGGAAAGGCAAGGCCAAGGGAAAGTGTTGCGGAGAGCCAGCTGGGCCCAGGCGCCTCGAGGAAGTGGGAACCGGAACAGAAGCTCAGGCAGGCGAGCACCGCGCACGCCACCCTCCGCTGCCGGGGCGTTCTCCCGCGAGCAGCCAGCGCGGGTCCCGCTCGCCGAGGAAGGGGAACAAGGTTGGGAAGGAGGCGAGGGGAGCGCTCCGGCCGCGGAGAGGAGGCCTTTTTCTCCTGCGGTTACCCCTCCGGTCCCTCCAAGTCCGGTCTCCGCAGAGCGCGCGTGACGCTTTTCTCCGCACCTGCCCTGGGGGACCCCGGGCAAGGGCGAGCTCTCAGCATTCTCGCAGACCCGATTCTGTCCCCACCACGGTCACCAGCCCGGGCTGGCCTAGGGAGAGGGGCCGGGCCCGAGAGGAAAAGGCCAAGAAACGGGGACTTCTTCCATTCGCTGCTTTGTCCCCGGCCCTCGGCTCAGGGTCCAACACACAATAGACTCTCAAAATAGTATTTGCTGAGTGAACGGCTGAATGATGAACGAATGAAGAAATGAATTGAGAAGTGAGGCTGCAAAAAGGTCTGAGGCCCGGGTGGGGTTAGGGTGGGTGCCCAGTGGGCCAGAACCGCGGACTGTCCTCTTACCTCGTACCAGGATGCGGCGGCAGTGGTCTGCCTCGCCGGGCCCAAGCTGCAGGTCGCTGTCGGCGCTGCTCTCTCTGGAGCCGGCGGGACTGGAAGCCGAGGTCCCCGCAATCTCCCTTGGGCTTCGGCCACCTCCACCAGCCCCCAAGTCCTCCGCTCCACCGAGGTCCCCGTGGCGCCCACCGCCGCCAGCACACTCCGCCCGGCGCGCGGGGCCGAGGTCTCGCTCCGCGCCTCCATCGCCCATGCCGGCCGCCACTGCCGCCTTCTCCGCCGCCGAGGCAACCTTGGCCGGCCGAGCCTGCGGCTCCGGGCCCCTCGCGCCCCCCTCGCGACTGCTCTTCCTCAGGCCCCGCCCCACCCGGCTGCTCCTCCCCTCCCTGCTGATTGGCTTGAGTCTGGGTTCTCCGAGTCCCGGCGACTCGCTAGGGCTCTGCTCCCCGGAGAGGAGGGGGAGAGGGAGGAGGAGGAAGAGGGGCCGGCGGCTCCACTCCTCCACCCCCAAGTCCAGCCCGGCTCCCAGCCCCGCGGAGAGAGGCTGGGACGGCCCCGGAGTACAGAGGAATGCCCCGCACCGTCTCCTAAAGTTTATCAACCTCCTTTCCCCAACACCATCACCCTAGCCTGCTCTTCTCCCCGCTCCCTTCGACCCCTGGAAAGGGCAGCCTCAGCTCTCCAGTTGGTTCCGCTGGATCAATAATCAAAGTGCGCGAGGAAGGCGACCTGGTGAGACCAATGGAGAACAGGAGGTTGGCCTGGCTGGAGCGCCGGGCGGGGGCGGGGTGGGGGGAGATAGGCGCAGAGCTGGGGTCAGTGCACCACTCCTCAGATTCTTACCCACAACCGCACTCCCGAACCGAGGTCCCGCCCCTCGGCAGGACGGAGAGCGGGACAAAAGAGCCTAGAAGAGTGAGGCTGGGGGTGGAGACGGAAGGCACACTCACAGCCGGGTCTACGGGAGACTTTGGTAGGCAGAAAAGGCCCGCCCGACTCCCCCGCAACTCCGAGGTCTTTACTCAGGGGGCTGCATCTAAAGCCTGGGATAGAGCTCTGGCGTTTATTTGGGTTTTCTCTCAACGAGCTCCCTGGGCGACTCGCCCCGGCTGGACTGCTGAGAGGCAACGCGCCTAGGCGAGCCCTGCAGGATCGGGCTGCGTTAAGCTGAGCAGTGAGGGTCGCTAGGCACTGCGCTCAGTTCTCTGAGGCATATGCGTTGGCAGCACTTGCTGGAGAGTCTAGCTTCTCTCTAGACAGGTGCCAGACCCAGATTTCCCTCTCTTTGATTTAGAAAAGGGATTTGGAAGAAAGATTCTCTAGCTGAGGTGTGCACGCAAAAGCATTGCTCACCAGAGGGTCTATGACCTCTTCCCTAAAGTACTCTAAGTGCAGGCGTCCCTTTGTCGGACCTGTGGCTGTGAGCCAGGTGCTAGTGCTAGCAAAGGTACTTCCTTCTGTCCTCAGATACCGTTAAAGGTGTCTGTGAGAGCCAGGCTGTGGACCAGTGTGCGTGTATGTGTCATGGTGAGGGTGTTGCTGGTGCAGTCTCCGTGATTCCTGTGAGGGGTGTGTAGGTACATGAGTGTGTGTGCCTTGGTGTGCATCCAGGGTGCATGTGACTAGCTGGGTATGTACACATGTCCAGTCCCAGAGGTAGGTGGCCAAAAGGGAGGTGGGCAGGTGATGCCTATGTTTGGGACCTAAGAGAAAAGGAGGGTAAGGAAGGCAAGGGAAAATGCCTGCTGGTCCATTCTAACTGAAAAAAGGGAAAGAAAGGTGGGAGCAAGGAAGTGCAGCCACAAAGCAGATTTTGGTGAGTGGCTAAAGAAGTGGACCTGCACCCTGGATATGTGGCAGGGTGTACAGAGGGAGAGTTATGGAGACTAGGTGCTCAAGTTCATGACCCTCAGGCACCCAGGCTGCTGGAGTGTGCGTAGGGGGACAGGCAAAAAAAGGAAGTTTATTGAATTAGAGGAGGGCCCTGGAGAAAGTGGACCCAACGGGGACTGAGCTTGGCTGAAGAGATCTATACAGCAGGTGTACAGAGCCTTACACTCCCGTCCCTACCCCTGGAAAGCAGACTCTTCAGGGTCTCCCCACCCCACTCCATCCGAAGATGTTAGTCACCTTGCCCACTGGACACCTATGCTCTGCATTTCAGTTTTTCTCTTCTCTGACAATCAAGTTTATTTTTTTATTCAGGTAAGATAAGTCTAATATAGAAAACACAAGCAGAAAACAAGCACTATGCTTAATATCCCCACCCTCAGTCCTTTCAGTTACACCTGCCACACTGGAGGCCTGCGTTCCTGTGCAAAGATGGAACAGCACCCGCTGGAACCTGCCAGGTTGTTTTAACTGTTTTAATTTTTCATCTCACTAATGGCATTTTTCTGTGCCAGTAACTAAGGTCTCCATCCTGGCATCCTCTTCTATGGCTGAGCTTCCAGGAGTACCAGGGGTGAGCAGCCAGGGTCATCTGGAAGAGGCTGGTGGCCTCCCTCAGAGTCCCTCAGGCCTGGATCTGGGAAGGTTCGGGCTTCTACCAGTCCCTGGTTGCTAGAGAGCCCTGTGGGGCCAGCCTCTGTTGACTGGGAGTTTCCTGTCTTCTTTCTCCCTCGCTCTTTATTCTTTCTCACATTAGTTCTTCATTCTTGGGGTAGGGATTCTGACTGGGCAGAAGTTCCAGTTCTCTTTTCTCTGCAGGCCTCGGCCCACATCCTTGTGCACACAGGGATTTGGGGTGAAGAAGTCAGAGCTTCTGCCCACCAGGCTACCAGAGTGCATGTGGGGGTGGGGGTGAGGACTAGGGCTCCTCGCCTACCTGCATCCTTTCATTTTGGAAAATTGCATCCTGCCACAATACCTTTTGTCAGTCCAGGGTAAGGAAAGCTCAGCTCACTTGTGCAGTGCTACAGCCCTTTGGCCAGGGTGTGCAGCAGCGAAGGTGGCAGTGCTGATTTGGAGAGTGCACGTTGGGGCACTCTCTGAGCGATCTTCCTGCCTGACATGAGAAACACAGAACTAGAGACCAGTGAGTCTGCCTGGCATGAACTCACTGGGATAGATTCCTCATATGGCCAGTTGAACCAGGGGGCCTGCCATGGTATAGGGATATCTTCCGCTTCTGGCCCTCACCTTCACCTTCAGTCTCCATCTGGGCCTCCCTGACATTCCACCTGGCCAACATCCTAGGGCCCTAGAGAGAATTTCCTTTGCCTCTTTACCTTTTCTCCCATTTTGGAAATTGAGGGACCTGAACATGGGGTGTGAGGGTGGGAGGCAGATCCCAGCTGGTAAAGGCCAGGGCAGTGGGCAATGGCCTAAACTCAATAACTCTGACCCTGCTGTGGCTCCATTGTAGACAAAACCCATGAGCTGGCCCACCTTTTCTGGATACCATAAGACTGCTATTGCTCAAGGCCCAGATGATGCCCATGCTGGTGCCTGCTATTGGTCTCTAGCCGGCTGGTCTGGTCTAGAGGAACCGATGGACTTTGCCTTTCAGAGGCCCAGCCAGCTCTGGGTCCTGGGCTGGAGGTTGGTGGCTGTACCACCACCAAGTGTTCCCCATCCAGAATAGGGCAAGTCTTTCACTCTCAGTGGGAAGAATGGGGAGAGTCACAGGGAAGGACACCCCTGCTCAGGTGCCACCTCAAGACCCCTTAGAGTATTTCTGGGGGGCAGGATTTATTTTTCCAAGATCAGCCTAACTTGGGGATAGTGGCTGTCTTCTCTCTGATCTTGTCTTGCTCAGTGCCATCTGCCTTCCAATTGTCTGCTGCCTTTTCAAGGTGTGGTCACTTTCAAGGACAGTCCAGCCCTATCCATTTATCTTCTTCTTCCGTCTTGGCTGATCAGTTACTGGGAGAGACTTCTCTGGCCTCAGTGATGCTGATAACTGAGTCCCAGCTGCCATGAATAAAGAGCATCCTCCTCCTCCAACCTGGAAAGTGCCTGGCCTGTGTTAGAGTAGCAAAGGTATTTGTGTAGGTGTAAGAGACCAAGGTGGCAGAAAGGATCTGCACCCCACTCCCTTCCCCTGCCTCTTACCTGTGCCCTACCCCTAGGTGCCTGAGAGCCCTTGCTAATGAAGTCCCACTCCAACTCTTGTTCGAGGGGTTGACATTTTAAAATAAGATGGGATGCTATTGGGATTATTTTTGTAAAACAATATAAATGCATTTATTCCTGAGATGAGTAGCAGTGCTGAAATGGAGGGAGGACAGTTCCAACAGTGAGCTCACAGTTTCTTATGGTGGTAGGACAGGTGCTTCCCAGCATGGTAAGGTTCCTTAATTCTGGTGCTTATCCTCTTCCTGGATTGCTGGCTGCCTCTAGGCTCAGTCATTGACTCATTTCAGGTAACAGGACATGACTGGGTAAGTCTGTGACTCAGTATTCTGCAGGGAGCAGGGTCTTTGGGCTGTAGGACTGGGAAGGTAATTTGGGAACATGAGAGGTCACTCCTGTTTCAGGAGAAGGAGCCCACAGCAGCTGCTGGATTTGTGGTCCTGGGTCCAGCATAACCAGCCACTGCAATATGTCTGGATCCACCACCCATCTGCTACCTGTTATTTACCTTTGCTGGTCTTTATCCAAAGGGGTTCTTAAGTTATCCTTAGGTGTTATAGGCCCACAGGACAGGCAGCCTCAGCTGCTATTTAACCCTTCCCTCTGGCATTTCACTAGTGGGTTCTGGGCATTTGGGCCTGGATTTCTCCATGAGGGGAAGCTGCTTTCTGCAGATCCCTCATTGCCATGTTCACCTGATTTACTCTGTCTCTTATGTTCCATCAGGAATCCTAGCCAGGCTGCCAGAGCTGTAGAAATGGTAAATATTTGCCACTGGGATGCCAGGCGTGATACAAGGTGCTGGCAACTTTCTTGAGCTACTGGGTCCTTGGACTTATCCATGAAGGCTGTCTGGGGGAGGCTGTGCGTCTAGGACAGTCTGTAAAGAGGGACTGACTAGAAAGACCAATGCTGACTGGTCTGACAAAGCCCTTGAGCTATTCTAACCTGGCAGATATGAAGCAGGCAACATCCACCCTGACTTTGACCTTGACCCCAGGCCAGTGAGGGTTAAGGAAAAGAGGGAGAATCAAAAGTTCTCCACACCCTTAACATATTAAATTACACAGAGAATTTAGAAAAAATTAGTGTTGCTCAGCTGTAGACCAAATGGGTTCCTAGTGGCTCCTGGTAGATATCCACATATTTAAAAAGCTTCTAGGTGATACCTGGTTGAGATCCACAGAATTGGGGTAAGAATGTGTGTGTGGGGGTGGAGGGGAGTAGGGGTGGGCAG